TTCTACAAAAACCTGTCGATGGAGAAGTGGAAGGCGGAGTACGGGCCGGCGTCGACGAGGATGCCATCTGCCCCGCCGCCGGATCCCTCCTCAACGCTGCCCCCATTGCTCGCCGAAGTTTGTTGGAGGTTGAGTGTGGGGGGAGGTTTGCCCCCAACCACCGAATGAAGCTCACATGTTGCGTGAGCTGCAGGTTTCGAAGTGAGTGGGTTGACTTCGGAAGACCCATTGAATTCGTGCCACATGGCAGCACTAGAAGAATCGAGATTGAGGGAACATTCGAAACAGTGAAATTCGGTTGCCGAATTTCACCCCCTTCGAATTGTTACACGAATGTTCGTGATTCACCTCATAGTGCTTAGATGTTACATGTGCGATTCGAGGAATTTCAGTTGCTATAAATGTGCTCGACTTGTTTGCATGTTTCATAGTGAAAACCAAAGTTCACTGTACAAGGTACATTTGAACCAAAAATCCAGAGAGCTCCTCATCTCCATTCCTAGAGCATAGTCTTCACGTTTCCAGCTATAGCTCGCTCGTTTCTTAGGCGAACGGGGCGTTTGATGGCTCGTTGGAAAGCTAAGACAGAGCTCTAGTGGTTTATACAACTCCAAGTTCCTGCCAACCAGAGGACACGCCTCTACATCAAAGTTGACGAGCATGATGACGAGGACGTAGAGGAAGTCTCGCTCCCTCCTCCTGTTGTGCCCTCGTCGGCCGCCGGCGATGAGGGGAGACTTGGTTCGTCGCCTCCGGCGCCGACCGGTTGCATCGCCGGTGGCCGACGTGACGCCGAGAAGGTCGGCAATGGGACGCGGCAGATGACAGGGGAGCTTTCCTCGTCGAAGCCGACTTCAGGGAAGCCGTCGTCAGAAGTGTCACCTGCAGAGAAGCTACTGACAGAGGCACCGAAGCAGACTGCAGAAAAGCCAGCGGCAGAGGCGCCAGCCTCAGGGGAGGCGTCGGCAGAGAAGCTGATTCTGGGGGAGCGGTCAATAGAGGAGCTGTCGCCAGGGGAGCAGTTCGACGATGACACGTCGAGCGACGACGTTGTGGAAGTCGTCGGTGCGGACGTCGGCGGTGAAGGGGAGCTGTCAACAGGGGAGCAGTCTGATGACGGCGACGTGGTAGAGGTCCCGGTCGAAGAGGCGAAACCGCGACGGTCTGCCCGCTCCAACATTGGCAAGCCGCCGGAGAAGCTGAGCTACCACGCTTGTCTGCCACCGACCTCCTACAGCACTCTGCTCGACAAGGCGGAGGACGACATCGTTCTGCCCGATCTCGACCCTGACATGCACGCCGATCCAGAGCATCGCTGGGACATCGCCAACATGACGGTGAAGGAGGCGTTAGCGAGCTGGAAGGGCGAAGCAGTGAAAGCCGCCATGGACGAGGAAATCAAGAGCCTCATCTCCAACGGGACGTGGGAGCTGGTCGAGCGTCCGCGCGGTGTCAACATCATGAAGAACCGCTGGGTGCTCATGACGAAGTACCACGTCGACGACACGGTTGCCCGTGAGAAGGCTCGCCTGGTGGTGAAGGGTTTCACGCAGGTCTACGGCGCAAATTACGAGGAAACATACGCGCCGGTGGGGAGCTACGTAACTCTGCGGATCTTCCTCAGCATCGTAGCAGTCCTCGACCTAGACCTGATGCAGCTGGACATGAAAAACGCGTTTCTGCAGAGCAAGCTGGATCGCGTCCTCTACATGTACCAGCCCGACTACTACAACGACGGAACCGGTCGCGTCTGCAAGCTGCTGAAGAGCTTGTACGGGCTGAAGCAGAGTCCGCTGCTGTGGTACTCGGCGCTCGACGCGGTGCTGATAGGCGCTGGCTGGCAGAAGAGCCAGGTCGACGAGGCACTCTACTTCAAGGCCGGAGATGGCGGAGTGATGTGCTGGGTGCTCGTCTACGTCGACGACTTGCTCGCCGCCAGCAGCAGCACTGCGATGCTGAAGGAGCTGCTGGAGGCCGCCTTTGAGCTGCGCGAAATCAGCCCGGTCGAGAAGTATCTCGGGCTGGAAATCGTGCGCGACCGTCCTGCGAGGAAGCTGTGGCTGCACCAGCAGTCGTACGTCGATAAGCTGCGTCGGCGTTTCATCGACGAGGAGCAGACCGGGCGAGTGCCGAAGACGCCGGTCTCCGTCGACGCCTACGCGGAGGTGATGTTCGACGACGAGGAGTTCCAGTCGCGCGAGGAAGCAGAATACCGGCAGAAGGTCGGCTCGCTGCAGTTCGCGGCCACCACGACGAGGCCCGACATTGCCTTCGCTTGCAGCAAGCTCGGATCCGGCCTGACTGTCCGGCGTGAGGTCGACCGCTGTCTGCACTACCTCGCTGAAACTCGTGACGCCGCTCTAAAGTTCGGTGGCGGACCAGAGTCGCTGTGTGTGGTCGGCTATGCAGATGCTGACGACGCTGGCGACAAGCAGAATCGGACGAGCACGGGCGGCTACATTTTCATCTTCGGAGGAGCCGCAGTTTCGTGGTCGAGCCAGCGCATCAAGTGCGCAACGCTTTCGTCGACCGAATCAGAGTACGTCGCGGCCACCGAAGCCGGCAAGGAGGCTCGCCGTCTGCGCTTCCTCCTTGCAGAATTCCGCCTGCTCGACCCAAGGAAGCCGACTGTTCTGCACGTGGACAACCAGTCGGCAATCAAAGTCGCAGAGGGCTTGGGGCTCAAGGGCAACCTCAAGCACATGGAGCGACGCTACGCCTGGCTGCAGCAGATGGTGAAGCGCGGGAAAATTGCTCTGCAGTACATCCCGACCTCCGAGCAGCCGGCGGATTTTCTGACGAAGGCGCTGCATTTTCCGGCTTTCAACTGAATTCTTGCTAAACTTCTTTGTGAACACAGCAAGCAGTAAGAACGCTAGCGGAGCGCTACGATCACTCGCACAACCCCGTGCCCTCCTCCGTAGTCCACTCCCGTTGTGTAGTGATGTTGAACTATATTGCATATCTTATAACTGCCTACAGCTTGTTAGTGTACTAGTTTAGGTATTAGAATCAACTGCTGGTGGTGTACCCTTCTCCCCTTTCTCTTGTTCCTATTTGTACTCCTCATTCCATAATGAAACCCCTCCTTTGCCAAAACCTCTCGATACCATCTCCTAGCTCCTAGTCTTCCTCCTAAGCCTAAGCCATGCCTCCTAAGGTTACCTAGTTATTATGACATGGTATCAGAGCGGTTACGGTCCTAGCCTACGATTCCTTTTCTCAATGGGCCCACTAACAGTTGTCGCTATGGCGCTCCCTGCCCACGAGCTCGTCAACCCGCTCGCTTGCAAAACGCCAGCAAAATCGCTGGCGAAATCGCCAACGACATCGGCGGCGAAATCGCCAGCGACATCGGCGGCGAAATTGCCAGCGACATCGCCGGCGAAATCGCCAGCGGCATCGCCACCAGCTCGTGATGAGCGCCTCGGCAAACGCAGCGGCCAGCCAGCAGCAGTGCGCACGCACTGCAGCGCACGCTCGCCAACACGCCAGCGAGTCCGCCAGCGCGTCAGCGAACTCGCCAGCGCCCCCGCCATGGCCACGTCTCTCCGCGCCTCCCCACCTGCTGCCGCGCTTTTCGATGGTGGGCATTGCGGGGAGGAGGTAGCGGAGCTTGCGCTCGCGGCTACGGGGGTGCTTAAGCCCCCTTGAACCCTCCCGCCCCTCCCTCGTCCTCCTCCTCATCGCTGCCCGTGCATCTGCAGTGCGTGCCGCGTTTGGGGGGGGGGGGGAGGAGAGGGTGTGGGGGTGGCGGGTATTTGAAGGCAGCCGCCTCCCCTTCTCCTCCTCCTTCTGCTGCACTTCCTATCCTCTCCTCCTCCTCTCTCCTCTCCGTTTTCCAGCCACCTCCTCCTCCGCTAGTTTGTTCCTCTCGAGCCGCCTCTCCTGTGTCTTCCTCTTCCTCTCATCCGCCTCATGTACACCACCTAAGGTTAACCGCCTCTCCGCGTCTTCCTCCTGCGTCTTCGATAACTGTCTTGTCGCTTGGTCTTTCGTTTTCACTGCAGTCATCTTCGCGTTAAGGATTCGTTACTTAGGAATGTTTTTTCAATCATTCCATATCGTGACAAATCCATTCAAAGGATTTCAAGCAGGGGAGGTACGAGAGGCAATGTGAGTCTACAAGAGATTGGGTGCACAAACAAAGGATAATATTTTTCTCGTGCCATGATGTAGCAAGTGGTCTCCTTGTACGTAGTAATGTACTAGCTTTGTGGGGAGAATGCGCATGGATGGCACTGTCCAGGCATGGAATGTTTGTGAATCTGGTGGTGGGAACAAGGGATGCGGGGGGTTTGGATGTGTCATCCCAACCAACAGTTTTTGCCGCATGCGTGTCTCCCACCCACCAGTTTCCCTCCATCCCGATCAGCCTTTGAATCGTTGTACGTGACGTGGTATATCCACCTGGCGTCTCAGGAAGTCATTGGAGGTTTATGTGGCCAATTGATGACGCCAATACGTGCGTGAGTGACTGGGCAGCTCCGCATCAACCGGGAATTTAGGTGGCGGTAGAACCGCGGTCACCGTTCTGTTGATTCTCACCGATCACCGAAGGGTTTGCGTGAAGGCAATCGCGGGCGAAGGCACACCTCAGGCTCCCGCAATCCCACACACCACAACACAAATTGCGATCAGGTGCATGCTCCTAGTTCCCGTTTCCATCCAGCTCCGCCCTTCCCCTCCACGCGTCCCACCTTTTTCGTCAACTTTCCGCGCGCCTGTCCCCACTTTCCGCCTGTCTCCGTTTTTCCGCATCTCCGAAGAGCTCCACGTGGCCATCACCGTCCACGTTTCCGTCCACTTCTTGCGCCCATTGACTCACTTCCGCGGAGGATCAGTCCGTTCCCCCCAACCTCGTCGATCGAGCGCTCTCTGGATTTATCGCATCGATCGACAATTTTTGAGATCAATCCTGCCTATCACTTTGCTGATTGTGCCTTTCAGGGCTCTCCGAATTTCCAACTCCCGCAACCTCAACTGTCAACCACATCGCCATGGCACTCACTCAGTCCCTAGCCACCCGCCTGATCCCCACGCCTGCAGCCCTGTCTTCCAAAGACTGTCAACTTGTCTCCCATTCTCGCGTCATCTCCGCTCCGCAAGCTGTCTCCCGGATCTGTGCGTCTCTCGACTCGCAAGCCCCAAGGACTCCGCCAACTCGGCCGTCAAACGCGGAACCCTCCACGCGCACGAATGCAGCCGCTGCTGCAGCTCCGCTGACGCCGTTTAACGACGCGTCTAACGTCCCGCGCATTTGCACGTTAGTCGATTTCACGGATCGACCTCTGCCGTACGATTTCCGGCCGTCCGTTTCCCCACTCCCCACTGGATTGGGGAACGCGTTACTAGGTACCAGTGCGGCGCCATCGCAGCAGCCCCGCGCGCGTGTGCCTGCGGGGCAGGTTGATGCCCTGGGATCTGCGGGGAACTTCCTCGTTGCGGCGGCTTCCGCAGTGTCAGCTTTCGTAAAGGACATTGAGACATTGACGGGCCGCCTAGCCATGGTGAGTCTGCGCCCGAATGTGATCCAGCATTGTTGTCGCGGTCGCGAGAACTCCATATATGAGCTCAAGTTTCACCACATTTAGTCTTCTACACGAGTTCTCTAACCATCAGGTTCGGTCTCGCCCCGTTCCTGTGCAGATGTCGTGCGCAGCCGCGCTCGCCGCGCAGGTGCTTATCGGCGGCCAGGGCCTCGTCGATTAACTCGCTCTTTCCAAGAATCGCTGAAGATGAGTTTGATTTCTTTCCGCATCGTCCACGCGTTTCACGTCGCTTACTGGCGTCTCTACCGCTTGATTGATCGCTCGAGATTACGGCAATTGAGGAGCAACGGGCAGCTCCACATAATCTATAGCACTGGTCAGAAGATACAGTGAGGTTTCTTTAACATGTTGGAGGGGAGACTGCATCAACACCAGGCCAGCACTCGCGTCGCTCTCTCACCTGCTTTCCGATTCCTTCACCCGGTCGCGTGGATTATTGAGCCACGACTATATTCGCGGACGGACAGCCCCGCCATTCCCCCACCGCCAGTTCCTATCGGCAGTTTCCCAGTGTTGCCGAGATGTCGTTCCATGCAAACCTCGTGTACACCCTTTCAAGCCGGACGGAAGCAGACGGATGCAGTCCTCCTTATATTCGAAGTAAGGAATAAGAGTTTGATATGCATTTCTATTCGACTATACTCTCCACATTTGCCCGCTTTACTCCCAGCCCCCAGAACATCAGAACGTTAGCCTCTTCCACGCATTCTTCATTGGCGTTATTGTAACCCCAGCCAACTTTGTTCGTGATAAGTGTTTCCACTTGTAATTCAACCAGATGCTCAGCACTCATGCATTACATCTCACCCCACTGCTTGCAAGACCTTGACATGCTCTCCTCAAGTAGGCCAGTGCATTGTAAATACGGTAATTGCCCCCTCCTTGGCTACGTGATGAATGCAGCATGCTCATCCTGGAAATAAAGAGAAACCATACTAGCATCTGAATGTGAGACAGGGCGTGTTCCTACGCCTCATACCGTATCAAGTAACCTCATATCAGACTTGCCAGCGAATAATTACCGTATGGATTTAGGGCGGGGGCAGCGCGTTCATTTTCCTGGCTTAGCCCGAAACAGTTACCAGATTCAGGGGTTTGTAACCCCGATTTAGGGTAACCTGTGGACACGACGGAGTATACAGTGGATGAACGGTGGCTGTTTTCCGTGCCGTCAATCGAACAAAACACGTTCCCACAACGTCCCCGAACAACCCGCGCATCATTTGAGAAAGCCCTTGAAAGCGTCAGCGAAACCGCACCATGACTTCGTCAAGCGCGCACGACCCTCGCAAATCCAAGGGTTCGAGTGTCTGGTGTGCACGAAGTTTTGCCACCTTCAATTCGGGGGCACAGGGCATTGGGTGGGCGGTTTGGCAAAAATGTGGCGGGTCCTGTGCCGGATTTTGGACGCGCGTGTCCCACCTGGGACACAAACTAAGCGCGGTACAAAAAAGCTACAGTAACCTCCAGATTCGACGGGTGTCAAAATTTTGTACAATTGGCGAAAATGAACGCGCTGCCCCCGCCCTTAGGGGAATTTCCAGTGTGAGTCTGAAAGATGAGGTGGCATAGGAACACGCTCTAAGAACACATTCAACACGCGTTGGTGATACGGAAGCTTGTTTTGGATACAGTTCACATCCTAAAAGTTGAATAAAATAACAATGTATAACGAAAGAATAGCAGTCATTGCAAACGCCCTACAAGCTAACCGCACGCAACTGAAAAGGAGTGCTAAATTCCACACCCAAGCATCCATTGGCTGCACCACAACATCCTCCTCCTTTTCCCCCCACCTCCCCCCTCCCCCTCCCCCCTTCCCCCTTCCCCTAACCCCCTCCAAACACCTGGAATCATGTTGACTGACACTCCCTTCAGGTTAAACACTCTGCAGAGCAGAGCCGCAAACACCTCTCAACAGGTGTGCACACACACACAAACACACGCACAAACAAACACTCACACACACACACGCACAACCAGTCCTCCCCACTCCATTCACATCACGCACGGCAGGCAGAACGTCACTCACTCGCTGCCGCTGCTGCTGTCCTCTCCCTCCCTGGCCTGCACAAACTCAATCACCTTCACCACCGAGTGAAACGACACCTGCCGCTTCCCCACCCTGCTCGGACTCCTACTCATCCCCGCTGCTGATGCTTCAGCTGACGCGGCAGCAGATGGAGAAGCAGCAGATGCGGAAAGTCCACTCTCCTCTGTCTGCCCTCCCTGCTCCTCCAAACTGACTAAGCACCCGCTACTGCTGCTGCTCGCTCCTCGGCTGTTGCTTGCACTGCAATCCAACCCCGGCCCTCCATCTCCCCGCCCCTGCCCCTCCACCTCTGCCACTGCCTCTTCCCCACCCTCCCCTTCGTCCTCTCTCTCTGCCCTCTCACCCCCCTTCTCCCCAGCCCTTCCCCCCGGCCCCTGTCTAGTGAGCGAAGGGGCTCTGGGAGGCAGTGGGTGAGGGAGGGGCGGCCGGGCAGGCTCACTCGGACTTGCATTGCTTCTACTCGTAGACCCCCCATACTCGTCTATCAAATCACACCACCTGCCCTGAAGGCCTGTGCTGCTGCCACCGCCACCGCCACCACCGCCACCACCGCCGCCGCCGCCGCCGACGACGCTGCTGCTGCTGCCAATGCTACGCGCCACACCACCCATGGCAGTTGACACCTCATGCGCTGCCGGCCCCTCTGAACTGCCCACGGATTGACCAGGCGGCGCACCAGGGCGCGAGGACACAAGCGACGGGGACAGACGGAACGCAAGGAGCGTTGCGTCATCTCTGCTACTACCACCGTGCTGCACGCCTGCCACACCCTCCTCCCCACGCTTCCTCCCACCCTCATACCCACTGCCGCCACCAGTGCCTCCACCACCGCTGCTGATCCTCCCTCCCCCAAGAACCCACCCCAGAGCTGAGCTAGCAGGGGGAGAGAGAGGAGGCGCGTCAGAGGCGCTGCTATTTGCGCCCCTGAGCCTCCTCTCCGCCCGCTTCTTCCTCCGCAGGTACAGCTGGTCCAGGCTCAACTGCCGGTTGAACATCCCAGCCCCATCTTCCCCCGCCTCCTCCTCTCGCTCCTCTCTCGCCTCCCTCTCCGCCCTGCTCAGAGACATTCCCCGCCCAAACAGCTCCACTCCTGCTGCTACAGCTGCTGAGGCTTCATCCTCGTCTGCATAGGCCTCTGCTGCCCCTCCTCCTCCTCCTCCCACTTCCCCTCTCTCGCCACCATCGCCGCCGCCAGCACTGCCGCTGTGGCTGCTGCCTTTCCCCTTGCGGTGCCCGAACAGTCTCTCCAATGAGGGCGCGCCACGTGGCAGCAGCAGCGCGCTCTGCTGCTGCTGCTGAGACTGCTGCTGTTGTGACTGTAATGAGGAGCCTCGGAGGCTGAAGAACGTCTCCAGGCGGGAGGGAGGCGCAGAGCCGGATCGCGCTGTGGCTGCTGCTGCTGCTGCTGCTGCCGCTGCTGCTGCGGCTGCTACAGCCATAGATGACCTAGCACCATCCACCCCCCCAACATTGGGCCCTCCTGCAATACCAGTCTCAGCAGAAGCAGAAGAAGCGGCAGCAACAGCAGTAGCAGCAGCAGAGGAGGAATCGTGAGGGACAGCGCTGCTCCTAGCAGCCCAATCAGCCGCTGCCGCTGCGGAAAATCCTGACCGTTCAGGACTGGAAAAGGCACCGCTGCGGTGGGACGCCGAAAGGAGATGAACCGACGAAACACCTTCTCCTCCTGCTCCTCCTCCCTCGCCTGAACCTGCATCCCCTCGGGGACCATAACCTGACGGCGCCCTCCTTGCACTACCAAAGCCCGCTCTCACAGGAATGCTTCCCTTGAGCAAGTCCCCTGCCCAGTATGCCTTCCTGCCGCTGCTGCTCCCCGCCCCACCCCCGCTGCCCCCCCCATGCCTGCCGCTACTGCTGCTCCTCGCACTCATGCTACCCAGCCCCCCCCTGCTGAAGCTGCTCCCGATGCTGCTGCTGCTGCCCCCGCCCCCGCCCTTGTGCGCCTTCCGCTCAAACCTCCCGCTTCCCCTGAAGCTCCCCCCAACGGCTGCTCCGCCGTCCAGGGGCGCGCCCGCGCCCGCGCCCAGCTCCCCCGCGCCCAGGCCCCCCGCGGCCTGCCTGAGCAGGTGAAAGCCGCATCCGGGAATCTGCACCACATCAAACTGAAACTCCCCCGAGCCCCCCTCTTCCCCTTCCCCTTCCCCTCCCCCTTCCCCTTCCGCCTCTGCATCCACTCTCCCGTCATCGCTGGACCCATCTGCTGCTGTCGCTGCCGCTGCCGCTGCCGTTCCTGCTGCTGTTGCTCTAATGTGCTGCTTCTTCCCCTCCCCCTGCGACCCCAGCCCGCTTGCCTCGGTTCTCTTCCCCCCCCTCCGCCCGCTCTCTGCGCCCTGCGCCAGTCGCGCTGCTTCCCCTCACCCCTCTCCCGCTCAGCGGGCGCGCTTGAGAACCGCTTCAGGTTGTCCGAGCTCGCGGGGCGCGGAAGCCCGCAGCGCTTCCCCCCAGCCCCTCCGCTACCCCCTAATCCCCCCCGAAACATCCCCCTGCCCAGCCCCTCCTCCGCCCTACCCCGCGCGCCCCCGCCCCCGCCCGCGCCCGCGCCGGCGCCCCCCACGTCCCCGTCGCAGCTGCTTCCGCCAATGCTGCCGTTGCTGCTGTGCCCCGCGCTGCTGCTGCCCGCGCCGCCGCTGCCAAAGCCGCTGGAGAGAAAGGAGGAGTCGATGGAGAGGGAGAGCGAGGAGAATGCGAGCGAATCTATGGACGCGCGCGCCCACGCCTCGTTCCGCCGCGCCGACGCCCCCACGCGCTGGTCCGACATGGGGATTGCGCCGAACGGCGGCAGCGCGGGCGGGGGGGAAGCGGACGGGGACGACGCGGAGAACGGCGGCGGGGAGGGGAAGGAGGGGGAGACCGGGGGGAGCGGGTATGCGGAGTCGGGGGGAGGGTTGGAGGCGTGGAGGGGGGAAGCGGAGGGGGAGGAGCAGGAGGAGGAGGCAGTGAGATGCAGTGAAGGCATGGAGAGGTTGGGGGGGAGTGGCGCGGCGCGGGATGCGCCGGCGGAGGCGGAGGTGTAAGGGGAGGGTGGCGGGCCTGCGCCCAGAGGGGCGGAGGAGGACGTGGGGAACGGCGCGGGGGAAGGGGCTCTGGCGGCGGAAGCGGAGGAAGCAAGGCGCGGCGGCGGAGCGGGGGGCAGGTACCCGCGCGACTGCCAGATCTGGTGCAGCGCGGAGGCGGAAAGCGCGCGGTCCGCGGGCACCCAGGGGGGCGGCGGCGGGCAGTCGTCCGCCAGCAGCTGCCACGCGCAGTGCGCCTGCGCCACGACCACCATGGCGGCATGCATTCCACCCGGCTCCTCCCCCAGCGGAAACTCCGCCTCGTCGTCGTCTGCGGGGGGAAGGCGGGCGCGCGGAAGCGGCGGAAGGGGGCGGAGGGCGGCGCATCAACACAGCACGCGGTACTAGTGGGGGTGCCCCGGTTTCCCCCCCACACAGCACATCACACACGAGATGGAACACGGTATGGTGGGACGAGGGAACTAATATAGAAACAATGGATCCTACCAACAATACGACAAAGCTGGAACATCAACCAGTATGAATGACGAGCCATGGCGCGCTCACCGTGATTCACGCAGGGCGCGAAGCGCACCCATTCCAATATCTGCTCCAGCACGGGCGACAGAACGGGCGGAATTCCCGTCGCCCCCTCTTGTATCACACTCGCTAGTGCGTCCTCCGTGGAAACCACCACCACTACCCACGACAGCGTTTGCCGCCCCTCCGCGCGTTCCCCCGCTCCGCGATCGCGCTCCGCTTCCCCCTCCCCTGCCCCTGGCCTTGCCTCGCTTCTTCCCTCTTCCGCGCTCATCTCTGCGCGCGCCGGCCCCGCGACCGCGAACACCGCGAGCGGGCGCACGGAGCACACCTCCCCCGTGCGCATGCGCCTTCCGCCGATCTCGATCGCTTCGATCGGCCTTCCATCGTTCACCAACCCCTCCCACACGCCGCCACTACCGCCGCCGCCGCCGCCGCCGAAAATGCCGCCGGCGGCGTCCGCTCCCACCGGCTGCTCGGGATCCGCGTATGTTTGCGGAAGGAACCCAACGTTGAACATCGAGTTCTCCGCGTAGTGCTGCGGCCGGAGCCGCGTCCAGTCCACCGCGGCGCGTTCTTTATAAACGCCATCCTGCCGCGGCAGACCGAGCCCCGGCTCCTCCCGCCTCAACGCCTCGCCGTCGCGGCTCGGCGGGCCCTGCTGCCCGTGCGACGGCGGCTGCGGTTCCGACGGCTGCGGACGCGACGGCGAAGGCGACGAAACACCGCCCGCGGAGGTGCCGCCGGCGGCGGCAGCGGGAGCGGGAGCGCGAAACACGCGGATGGGCGTGTAATCCTCGTCGGGAGCCGCCTCGTACTTGACCCAGCAGTCCTGCGGCGTCTTGCACACGAAGTGCAGCGCGCCGTTCTTAGCGTGCAGCGGCACGTGGTGCCACGGCGACACTAACTGCCCGTGAAAGTCCAGCAGCAACGAGCGGTAGTTTAAAGACCCAGGATAGCCGAACTCCACGCTAGTCCACGGGCACAGGCGCTCCAGCAGCGACGCGGCGTCGGAGGCGGAGGCGGAGGGGGAGCGGGAGTCGGAGGGGGAAGCGGCGGGCGGGGAGTCGAGGGAGTCGGAGCCGAGGATAGAGTCCCACGCGCGCGACACGGAGGACGACGCGGCGGCCATGGCGCGAGGCGCGATCGAGAGTGATGACGTGTAAGTGGGGGCGGAGGGGAAGGGGGGTTTCGGGGCGGCGTTGGTGCTGTTGATACTTGATAGTGGTGGTAGCGTGGGGAAAGGCTCTGCGTATGGAAACTCGCTGCGGTTGTTAATTTGAGGAGTTAGGGTTGGAGCTATGGTGAGGAGAATGGAGGTGTTGTACGCACGACGTTCGCACCCCGCCACACGCTATTGACGCGCTACTAAGTACGACGGACCCATCGCACTCTAAGTACGTCGCCGGAGCGCGCGCGCTTCGCAGAAAGTAACGCCGCGACGAGGAGATGTGTAGGCCGATCTAGAACCAGGGGCAGGTCAACTTGCCCGAAACTGCTACTCGGACGTGAAATACGAGTAAAGATGATGGAGGTGCGAGCATCGGTCCTCCTGCCCTATGCGCACCTGTCGTTCTCACATGCGATCACTCGAAGCTCGGATGGGATGGCATTCACGTGCAGTACTGCGGGCGAGGTGAGACAATCATCGGGCAAGTGCTTTTCGAAAGGTCTAGCCTAGACGCCAAGCCACGGTCATACTCCTCACTGCTGTTGCTGCTGCAGCTGATGCTTTTGGCGCAACAGGCGACTAATCTCTGTCGACATGGGGATGGTCTGGACCCATCGCGTCGCATCGTATCGCTAAGCATGGCGGGTGGGAGGCCTGATAGCAGATCAGTAGGGGGGATGAACCGTGGAAGGAACGAATGTGGGGGGGGAGTCGGAGTCGAAACGAGCGCTAGGCAAGGGGGAAGGGAGAGAGAGAGGAGCGCAAGGCTTTGAGGGGGGCGGTGGAGGAGTGGGTGGGTGGACGGGAAACATGGTCATGCATGCAACTGATCGACTCAGGGACACGGGCCACCGCGCGAGTCACGACAAATGATGACGGAAGAAGCTGGTCGGTTAAGTTTGACGCATGCACACCGGACTTTGTTTCGTCGGTCGCGGCGCTGAGTGTACAGTAATGCCGAGCATCACCTGTCATGTCACAAAATGCACCTCGCGTAGTACACTTCAACTTCGATATCGAAGCCTAGTGAGATACGGAATCTGCTTACCTCTAGTTTCGTCGGAGAGCCTCCTTGCCTGCATTTGGCACAAGCGAAATTGTAGTCTATCCTGTCACTCATACGAAACTATACTTTATAAATTAATTACTTTCCAGGTCACAAGAGCAGTGGCGTATAATATTCCAAATTAGAATCCTTATGAACAAGGCCTTGGTCACCCGTTATTTACGACATTTTTTTTTTACTTTTTTGTTCACAAAGGCAGTATCATATTGTTTCCATCCTTATGAACCTTTGCAGGAGAGTGGAAACACTGGGAGAAGCGAGCACGTTCCACAGCTTATGATCTTTGGTAACCCAATATTCTGGACGATTCTAATACAACATAAACTGATGTTTTAATTAGCATTGTTCAGCTTACAACCATGTAGTGTTGTAAGGAATATATGCAACCCAATCTCCAGCATGATAATTTTTACAAAGGTGGCGCTTCCTAATATACACTCGCGATTCTACAAGTCTTGGCAACCGTGGTCTTGCCTTGGAAAGTCACTTTTGAATTGAAGCTTGGAGTTTTGTGTGTTACTTGATAAATTCCAGCAACAAACGATTGACAACGCCATGCGTTCAACAAAAACAAGCGACCAAACAATTGTTTATAATAATGTCCCATGTCTTGATAAAGACATCCGATTCTAGTAGCAATTGTTGTTGATTGCAAACCATATGAACGTTTTAAGCAGACTAAGTTACACGTTGCCGTTGCTGTCATTGAGCCGTCCCATCATTTTGCATAAGGACTTGCAAACGCTGCAAGTTCATGGTGATGAATTGTTGAGAAGCGATAGTCTTATGTAAAAAGTTCTACAAAACCGAGAAATGAATGTATCTACCTCCCTAGGTTTCCTGTCATGACTCATGACGCACCCAGTCTACACTTAACCACCGATATTTTCTTTCGGTCTATCTGCAACCCCTTTTGTCGCGACTCAGTTGCTGGGGTGAGGAGTGCCCCGATTCTGTACAGTGCTGACGAGTTGTGCCATGTGCGTGAACACCAACTCTCACACACACACGAGGGTTGAAAATAACGGGGAGAATTTTCCTCCGCCCAATTTCAACTCTCGGGGGGTACGACAAAATTTTAGAGGGTTGAAGTTAGCGCTGGTTAAGTGTACTTGCAGGTTTCTCTTCTTGGGGACTGGTTGGCATGAAATAACAGCACTTCCACGCGGGTGGCAAGTGTACGAGAGATGAGTCCAAGCGAGTCACGACGAGAGACAGTTGGGGGAAGAGAAGAGGAGAGGAGCCCACACACAAAGTCTAGAGAATTGCCGCGGCGCGGGCTTTGGTCTCGCGAATTTTTTTCATCGCGCTAAAATTTTTACACAACCCGAAAGACACGCGCTCCACCTTTTATCGCGAGCGGTGCGCGCTCCCGACATTTTGACTTCAAAGTGGTAGTGTACATGTAAGTGTACGGTCATGTCGGAACTTTTTGCCAGGAACCGAGAGCCTCCAACATTGTTGGAGCCAAACCAGCGTAGTGCTGGGTTGCCAAGCCTACGTGTGACATCTCGTAATTTAGCCTACGTGTGCCATTCAGCATGACAAAATCCTTTGAGCGCCAAATGGCAGTCATTGAAACGACAGGTTCATAAGCACGAGAGGAAGCATTTTGAGCAGCGCAGCGCGAACAAGCACCAATAGAAATGTTGGTTCGTATTGTGTGCGTTGGATCGATCGCCTCGTCAGCTGATCTGACGCTGTTCGTTTTGAACGCCGCAGCACCGATATGAATTTGGAACACTAGACACGTCAGACCTCAGTGCCACCAACGGAACCAATCACGATCGCGCACGAATCATTTGGGGTTCAGAAAGCAAGGAGTGTCGATATTCGCGGAGCATTACGTTCCGTTAACGATTAATTGATAGATAAAACATGTAAAGGTACATATAACTTTTCTACATAACAGTTGTTTGGTAGTGCGTAAAATATCTGCATGAGAATATGAGTAAAATAGCTCATTAATCTATCAATACAATACAACTTCAATGTTGAACAATTTACTCAAAGTTTAGAAAATATAGCAGCATATGATTAGAGAATCTTCAAACAATTGTAGTATAAGAGATAAGCATAGCTATTGATTTTTATTGTCTCTAAATATTTAATCAGGTGGGTAATGTTATGGTCTCTCACAAGGCATAACAACGCCAATTGGGCATGGCAGAAATACGTAATGCAGGCACAACTGACCATACATTATACATATATTGAGATAACAGTGTCTGTAGCAAGGTTGATTATGCTTGTGAAAAGGTTGGCTAAAAATTAACAAGTGTAAAAGTGCTGGCAAATGCATGATTCTTTCCGTTTACTCACTATGATGATCATGCCTCAATGCACCAGTACAATGAATAGATAAGTAAAAATAAAGTTCCTCATACATAAAAACAAACCTAAGTACAGTGTTGATGTCTTCAACAATAAACAAAGTACTTCACATACAAGTGTCAGAATCCCAATCACTAACCACTGGGATAAAAGGGCTTGTTAATATAGCGGGTGAGTGCGCCCATAACCCCCCAGGCCGACGTGCCTGTAACCCTTCCCTAGGATCATCGGGGATCTCCAGTGGACCTCTGACACCCCCCCGCACTGGGATGCCCGAAGTGCACACACTGTCAAACTATATGTGCTGCATATTATCTAGGCTGTAGTGGGGTAGCCCATATGGGGTACAACCTAGTAGGGTTTACTACTTGTACTCCTGCATCCTGTTAGTTCACCCATTCCTGCTGCTAGATTCTAACATGGTTTCAGAGCACTAAGGTCCGTAGGACCGTTTTTTTTTCGGGCCCACCTACCGCTGCGGTTACCGCGCTACCCCACGTAGCCTTGCCTTGCCTTGCCTTGCCTTGCCTGCGCGCTGCCCCTAGAGGCCCGTAAGGCCCGCGCGCCGCCTCTACACGCCTGTCAGGCCCGTAAGACCCGCACACACGCTGCTACCGCGCGCTGCCCGCACCGAGACCGCGCAGCCCGCACCGAGTCGCGCGCAGCCCGCTGCAGCCACGCGCAGCCCGCACCGAGCCGCGCGCAGCCCGCTGCAGCCGCGCGCAGCCTGCACCGAGCCGCGCACAGCCCGCTGCAACCGCGCGCAGCCCGCACCGAGCCGCGCGCAGCTCGCAGCTGCCGCGCGCAGCCCGCGCCGAGCCCGCGCAGCCCGCGTCGAGCCGCGCGCGGCCCGCAGCAGCTCGTGCCGAGCCGCGCGAGGCCTGCTCCTGCCTCGCACGGCCCGCGCGCGGCCCGCAACAGCCCGCGCCGAGCCGCGCGCGGCCCGCTACTCCCTAGCGCGGCCGCGCGCGGCCCTTTGCCATGGCCCCGACCTGCCGCTGATGCGGCCCCGCCCTGCAGCTGCCACGGCCCCGACCTGCCGCTGACGCGGCCCCACCCTGCTACTGCCGCTGACGCAGCCCCGCTCTACAGCTGTTTCGGCCCTGCTCTGCAGCCGGTTTTGCGGCCCCGACGTCGCCGCTGTCGTGCGCATACTCGAGCGCCGGCCCTGCTCTCCCAGCCTTTGGTGAGCGCCTGCCTGCCTGCCTGACGGCCTGCCTGTCTGCCTGCCTGCCTGCCGGCCTGGCTGCCTGCCTGCCTGCCGGCCTGCCTGCCTGCCTGCCTGCCGGCCTGCGTGTCTACTTGCCTGCCTGCCTGCCTGCCTACCTGCCTGCCTGTCTGCCTGCCTGCCTGCCTGCCTGGCTGCCTGCCTGCCTGCCGGCCTGCCTGCCTGCCTGCCTGCCTGCTTGCTTGCCTGCCTGCCGCGCCTGCCTTGCCTGCGCTACTGCTACTGGCAGGTGGCCAGATGCAGCTCCAGCGTCATTCACGCGAGCCTCTGACGCCCCAGCAGCTTAGTGAGTGGTATACTAGCTGGGGTTGTCGCGGTAGCCGTCGTAGCTGTCGCCCTGGAGCTGGTCAGTTGGGAGCGTCTGGCAGTGGCCAGCTGCAGCTGCAGGGACGTCCACGTGAGACACTTACGCCCCGGCAGCTCCAGGAGTGGTACGCTCAGTGTAGCAGGTCTACGCGTACAGTCCGCTGCCCGTACGTCATTCGCACAGGTGCTAGGACTGGTCAGCCTTGTGGGACGCTTGGTCACACACAGTCCCGCTGCTTCGCCCGTCTGAGCGACGACTGGCGCACAGTGTTTGGCGACGAGGCTGAGCTCCCCACCTGGCTGGAGCTGCATAGACAGAGGGTAGATATCTTTGCGCTTGACTATGATGCTATTCTCACTGCCATGTATGCATTGTCTACTAGTGCTGACCGTGCCTGTTGCCTGTGCGTACCGCCTGACCCTGGTGAGGCTGCTGCCCTAGGTGCTAGTGCGTCTCCTGCTCTAGGTGCTGGTGAGGCTGCTGCTCTCGGTGCTAGTACGTCTACTGCTCTAGGTACTGGTGAGGCCGTGGCTTCAGGTGCTGCTGTGTCTGCTCTCTCTGGTACTGCGCCCACTACGGTCTCGCACACCTTCACCCTTGACTCAGGAGCTTCCCGCTCCTTCTTTCGCGACTGCACCGCACTCACGCCGCTCCGTCGGCCAGTCCCGGTCTCCCTGGCGGACCCCTCTG